AGGCTCTGGGAAGCAAGGAGTTTGGGAAATCGAACAAGAAATTGTCATCAAGATTGCGTGCGCGATTGCACTGATATTCGTTAAATAATGGTATATTATAGCACCAATTCAACGGATGCACCACAAATTGTGGTTCCTCATGATGAGGATTCGAAATATCGCATCCTCTATGAGGCTCACGACACGCCACTCAGTGGTCCTCGGTCGTGAGAAAACGTACAACTCTGCGAGTCACCACTATTGGTGGCCCAAGCTGTACAAATGGACGAGCACCTATGTGCGCACGGGCGAGACGTGTCAACGGGTGAAACTCTCTCCAAATGCGGCTGCGCCACTGGCCAGCTTACCGGGACCCACTGGGTGCTGGCAGTCCATGATTTTGGACTTTGTGTTTGGCCTGCCGAAAGATTCGGCGGGCAACACGGGTGTCGTGGTATTCGTCAACCGGTTGAGCAAGATGGCTCATTTGGCGACGGTGCCAGATACTATCGACGAAGTCGGTACAGCAACGCTGTCCGTGGATCGTGTAATTTGTCATTACGGACTCCCAGAGTCGATTGTCATTGATAGAGACCCCCGTTTCACGGGAACTTTGTGGTCGACTATCTTCAAGATGCTAGCCACCAAGTTGGATATGTCGACAGCAGATCATCTGCAGACCGATGGTCAAACCGTAAGGGTGAATCGCGTCGTCGAAGACGTTCTTCGCAGCGTCTGCGCTGAGACGCCGAGGCGCTGGAGCGCCGTGTTGCCACTCGAAGAGTTTGCGCTGAACAATGCCGTGCATGCGTCCACCGGCTACACGCCGTTCTACGTGAACGGGCTGGTTCACCCTCGCGTCTCGCTGACGCCGCCATCACATGGCTCAGGGCTTGGTAGGGGGAATAGCCGAGCGGTTAGCTAATGTCAGCCCCATCGCTGTTCGTGAAGAAGTCGATGACTTCCTGTCTTACGATTCGTTCGCGAAGCGATGGCTGAACATGAAGGCATGCAGAAAGAATATGCAAACGGAAGCAGCAGAAGAAATGCTGAAAAGTTTTTTGTCGGGACCTGATTTTATTAAAATGCTAAAAACCTTCCTACACGCTGTTTCTGGTGTCTTTGATTCGCCCACGGTCTATCGGACATTTTGAGGTCGTGGCCAAGCGGGACATTGCCTATACGCCAAACTTCCAAAAAGTAACCAGTGTTCTATGTGGGCTTGCTTAAGCCGTACCGGTATCCGGCTCGAGCGAACACGAAAGCATTGTCCTCGGATCGGCGCCCACAGGCGCTCGACCATCCAGAAGTTGGACCAGCAGCTGATTTTGAGCACGGAGTGCAACGATCACTATCTCCAACGGCGCCAGGCGCTCCAACGTCGCACGAAGTGACACATTCGTCTACTCGACGGCTAAGAGCCGCTTCGACAGAGCGCGATAGTCCTCAATGCGAGGCAGTTGGTGCACAACGTTCTCCGAGCTCCGATGTCTTCTGCACAACGGTATGCGGAGCCAGAATGATGCTTAGCGGAGTTCTGATGGCTACAGACCTTGTCCTCAAGAGCTCGAAGAGCATCGCCAGTAGTCGTCGTCTGCCGCTGACACTTCTCGACGAGAACGGGGGTGTCTACTATCACATGGAACGTCTTGTGGGTCGACGTCGTCGACAGGATCAAACAAGTATCTTGTACAGGTCGAATGCAACATGGGTTGCATTGCTGTAAGCTTTTGGATTTAATTTTTTTGCCGTATTATCGATGAGCGCGGTTGCGCGCATGCACCGCTCTACCTTCGAATGAAACTTGCTGTATTACAGCACTGACCCAAATGACACTCATCGTGTAGTGATAAGGAGTGAAAGTACAAAATCATATACAAGGCGCATTATGCTTTTTTGGGTGGCCAGAGAAAAAGTTGGTGAGCGCAGTGTATTAGTCGACACCATATGAAAGGGTAAGCACAAGTGTGTGCACGTTCGAGACGTGTCAATGTGCTAGATAGTCGCCACATGTCGCGGCAGCTTCCCCAGCCTGTCATTCCAGCAAGGTGCTGAAAGTCGAAATTTTTTTTGGTCTTTCAAAAGTAATGTCCGATAATGCTGGTGTAGCGGTCTTTGTGGAGATTCCCAGCAGAATGGCTCATCTCGCTGCTACCAGTGATGAAGTAAAGATATCGTCAAGCTGGTCTGTGACAAGAGTCTCGACAACATGGCTTATCGGTCGCCATCTGACCAGATAATGATCCGCGTTTTATAGCAAAACTAGCCAAACATTACTCATGGCACTTGACACTCTACTGGATATGTCAAGCACTGACCCTCAGCAAACAGATAGTTCTGAGCCACTTTTGCGAAAAGATAGCGATACTGGAGCGAGTTACTTCCACCATTGAGTTTGCGCTGAATAGTGCGGTACATGCATCCTTACGCATTAACTTAGTCAATATAAATGATTGAGTAAATCCTTCAAATGCCTTTGATACCGCCACCAAGTGGATCCGGCCTTAGTTTGGAAAAGGCTGTCGAACAAATTCGACTTGTTGATATCAGCCCAGTTACACTTCATAGGAAATTGAGTATTGTATCTTAATGCGATGAGTTTAGTGTGTAGGGTCCGCGACACTATGGCTTGAAAATAGGATAAAGAAAAGCAACTCGCCAATGCCAGAGGCATGATAGGAAGCAAAATATTCTGTGCAATTATACTTCCGACACATATAGCGTCTAGAGTCTATAAGACGAAGATGTGATTGCGCTACATCGAGCCCCTCGCGGTCGTAGTGAAGGAGAAATTGAGTAATACTTCTAGCATCCCAAAGAGAAAGCAAACAAATCCGGTGCTTTCCCCGGGCTTAACTACAACCCCGCTCTAACGGGTCAGTCGGGCGCGAAGAAATTTTTGGCATACGAAGTAATGTCACCACCATCCCCTGTAGCTGGAGTACCCTCTGCTCCAAACAGCGAATCGTGTGGACGGATGTCCAGGTAATCAGACTTGCCAACACCCTACAGTGGGTAACAGGTTCGTGGAAGCGGTCCACAAGAACCGCTAGTTGCGAAGAGTCACGTTCCGTAGCCCGCATAGGGAGAGAGAGCTAATGAAACACTACTGCATTTGCATTGAATAGCACAAGAGACTACAAAATATACTTTAGTTGCGAGCAGTTCGCAGAAGCGTAGGCAAAGCAACGAGATGTCGCGGACTCGTCTAGCGACTGACGATGATGTGGACATGTCTGTTCCGCAGCCAGTATACGAATATATTGCGCCGCCGAAGATGATAGAGTGGGACCAAACGGCACTTGTACAGTGGCGTCGGGCCCGGGTTAGTACGAAGAGCGTGTGCGGGAACGTTGTCGGTGGACCAATGAGCCATTCGAGAATGTGGTAGCTGATATCCGCACCACCATTGAACCCAACTTGCTGGATTTCTTGTCTAAATACGAATTTGGCAAAGACAAACAAGACATCTCCGACGACGAGATCATGGAGGAGGTCAAAGAGTGATGTGAAACAATGAATGAGGCGTACGTCAGTGACCTGTCCCGCCTATTCAACAAGCAATTAAAAATGGATCTTTCCATTGAAGATGTTCCCAGTCGTGTATCCAAATACTATATGCTAT